GGGGGGCGGGTGGGGCTGTGGGAGGTGGGGGGTCGGGCCCGGGGTGAGGTCGGGCCGTGTGGGGCTGAGAGAGGTGCGGGGTGGGCCTGGGGTGCGTTGAGGGGCCGTGAGGGGCGGGGCCCAGGACGCTGTTGTGGGGTACGGGAGTGGAGATGGCGGCCTCCCCCTGCCGGGTTTGGGGTCCCGGCGGTTGGGGCTGCGGCATTCCGGGTATCTCGGCGGCCGTTTGGCACCACACGGGGGGCGGAGGGCTCCAGCACGGGGAGGGGGGGGGGCTTGGCCGCCGTACAGCGCTGGAACTGGGGGCTGTGGGGCTGCCCACACATCCTGGGGGAGGGGTGATGGGGAGCGAAGCGTCTGTGGGGCACAACGGGGTGCTCACGGCTGTGGTTCGGCCGTCTCGGTGTTGGGGGGGCCCTGCGCCCCTTCCTGCCCCTGAAGTTGGGGGATGGGTCCGGTTTGGGGTGCTGGACGTGGGGCGGGAGTGGCTTCCACAGCCGGTCAGCATTCGGCAGCACCGTCCCTGAGTTCCCGTGGCAGAGTGCCGAGGCCATTACTGATTGCAGGGCAGGGCGGAGGGGGCTTCTGGTCGTCCCATGGAAGAAGGCCAGGGGCTGCCAGCCCGCGGGGCCTCACCTCGGCGGCCTCTTGGCGTTGCGTTCCTCGTTCCTGGGGCCTCTGGAAATGGGTCTCTGCCCCCTCCCCGCCCCCTTTGGCGATGCTCCCTGCTGCTCCCACAGCAATGTGTGGAATAGGGGTCCGTGGCTCTGCCGGCTCAGGGTGCGGCTGCAGGGTCTCCTCCCGCCTTGCTTTGGGGTTCCCTTTGGGAGCCTGGAGCTGTCACACATCTCATCTCTCCCACCTGGAAGAGGAGCTGCATCCAGAGCTTCACATCGGGGAGGAGATGCCAGTGCACAAGGCAACCTCTTCTCCCTTCCTGCTGGGATCGGTGCTGCTGTTTGCTTTCGAGGGTAGTTTGGTGCTGGCCGGGGCACCTTTCCTGCAGGATTTCAGACCTGCTGGCAGAGCTGCGTGACGTGGGCCATACGTGAAGTGCGCTCACCTCGGCTGCAGCGTTTAAAGCTCTTATCCCATCTCTGGGGCCTCTCACAGACTAAAGGGGGGCGATGGTTTTGGTTTTGATTGCTCTGGGCACGGGGCTTTACTTTTTCCAGTGCAAAACCCCGAAGCATCTCAGACCCCAGTGAATGTGGGGCCGACTGTTCTGGGCACAAAGCTTTGCTTTCTCCATGAGTAAACCCTAAAGCTGGCCCCACAGCTCAGTGTTCACCCTAGGGCCGATTACTCAGCGTCTTGCAGCTGAAATGCTGGGGACGGAAGGATTGGGGCGTCCCACCCTTCCTGCTCCCGGGGAAACACGGGGGAGGATTTCTCATTTTGCTGTTTTCGCTTTTGAAGCGGCGTGTGCCAAAAATGCTAATGCGGGATTTCGATCGTTTGGTTCTTTGTGCTTTGTAAGGACGGAGCTCAGAGAGAGAGTTGGGAGTTCATTGTCACCCTCCGGGGCTTCGGGCCCCTCCCCGGCGGCCGCAGACAAAAGAATCGCTCTCAGAATGGCTTCATCCCTTCTGGGGAGGAAATCGTCCCGGAGGGGTGAGAGCGGCGGGGACTCGGCCCCTATGGGAGGGGGGCAGAGCTTCGTGCCGAGCCCGTGAGCAGGATGACGGGCAGCCCCTCAACTGCTGGGGACCGCGGTGACGTCGTGTTGTGGCTCCTGGAGCACTCTGAGCACACAGAGCTCCCGTTGGTGCTGAGCTGCAGGCAGCCAGGCAGGGCTCCGCTCTGGGATGGAGACGAAGGAGGGCAGCCAGAGGCACGGGGAGCTGCTGTGTGGGGCTGGACGGAGCTCACCCCGTGGGGCAGCAGATGGGAGCCGCGTGGCTTTGGGGCCGGCGCTGACCCCGCAGTGACCGGGTTCCCCTGTGGAAGTAAAAGCTTCTGCTGCGTCGTCGCAGCGCTGCTCCGCTCGCAGCACCTCGCAGTGATTAATTAATTGTTCCACCCCCACAGACTCTGCCTCCCTCGCTCCCAGGGCTGAGGGATCCCTCACGGCTCGCCTTCATTCCCAGAGCACCAGCCGAGTCCTGCAGTGCTTCCAGCAGTGGCTGCTGCTGTGGGCGATGCTCACTGTGCTGCCCCGGCGCGGCTTCACGCCCTGAATTCTCCCTGCTCAGCTCACGCTAACTGTGCGTGGAAGGGCTGGCAGGGTGGCACGGCCGCGTTTCTTTCCGCGTTTCTCTGACTTTCTCAGGGACCCGACATCCCAAACAGCCGCCGTTTCTTGCAGCCGAAATGCCCGCTGCCCTCCACGTAACCTCTCTGTTTTTCCCTCGTCCAGATTTCAGCTTTTTGTGCTGCTCGGTGATGTCGTTCCGAAGAGGTTAGAAGCTCTGCGCTGCACGCAGCTCCTCTGCGCGGTAACCGACGCCGTGCCACAGTGGCTGTTTGTGCTCTGTGCCCCCGGCCGGCTTTGCAGAGCGGCTCCCCGCTGCTCCCACCTGCAGCTCTGACCCTGCGGGGTCACTGGGGGCTGTGGGTGGAAGCACAGCGGGTGTCTCTGAGCCGTGCCGTGTCCCGGCCCCGGCGGGTGCCGTGTTTGGGTGTGCTGACGTTTTGGCTTGTTATTTTTGTCTGACATCATCAGAAGTGCGGCTGACCTCGGTCTGGCTTCAGATGTCGAGCTGGGTGTCAGTGCTGTCTGTTGCATGCTGCCGTGCCGCCAGGTGGGAGCTGGGGCTGCCGGCGCTGAAGCCGAAGCATCTCCCGGCCCCTCAGAATGAGTTCTGTGCCCGTCTCTTGTGCTCAGCTTTGGTTTTTCCAGCCGTTACCCCTGGGAAGTACAGACTTTGGGTCTGAAAATGCTCCCAGGCAGCTGCAGCTGGAGGAGGCACTGCAGCACGGAAGGGATTGAGCCCAGCACTGAGAGCGAAGGGAAAAGGCGGCTGCTGTGGGGCAGGGCGAGTTTGGTTTTGGATGTGACCTTAACCCGGATCTGCTGCCTCTGTCCAGGGCGAACCCTTGGGTCCCGCTGCTGTTTTTCGGCCTGGGTTCCAGTCACGGTTGAGAGACCGTTTGGTTCCAGCAGATCCAGAGCTGTGTGCTCCCCTGAGCTGCGTTGCTGTGTTTCGCTTACAGCTCGCAGTTTAACACCTTCGCTTCTCCGGGCAGCCTGTGTGTGTGTGTGTGTGTGGACAAAACCAGCCATAAAACCTGCCTTGGGTGCAGGGAAACGGGGCGATCGCATGGAGCCCCCAGCCCTGCTGCCCTCACCGCTGATCAGCGCCTTGCTGGGGTGCTGCAGCTCATTATGGCCGGGCTCCTGGGGCCCCCACGCAGCCTGGGCTCTGGTTGGACCCCCAGCAGCACCCCCTGAACAGGCAGGGCTTGGGTGTGAGCTCGTGGCTTGGCTTGCGTTCCCCCACTGCGTGCTGCGGGGTCCAGGCAGCGCGGTGGGGATCTACTGCTCTGAGGGAGCTGTGATTAAACCCTGCTGGAGCGGGGATTTGCATGGGTGATTAAATATTAACACAGCTAATCTCCAAGGGGATGAGGCTGGTGCTGCTGCTGCAATGGGGTTGCTGGGATCTTGGTGGTTTCAATTGACAAACTGGTAAATTTGTGTTTAAAAAGAGATTGATTTGCTCTTGAACGGGTGCTGTATTGACATGGCTGGGATCTTTTCCCCATCCCCGCATCCTGGTAGAGCTTGGAAGTGGAATAGAATCAGTGGGGTTGCAAAAGACCTCTGAGATCATCAGGTCCAACTATCGGCATCCCCACCACACTCATAGAAACAGAATTGTTGAGGCTGAAGACTTCCAGGACCACCGAGTCCAATGCCAACCCATCCCACCAAGCCCACGTCCTCAACAGGATCAAGGGAGCGTTAGGGTTGGAAAAGACCTCCAAGATCAAGTGTGGCCCCAGCCCATCCCCACCGTGCCACTGTCCCTAAGCAGGATCATCAGGGTTGGAAAGGATCTCTGAAGTCACCAAGTCCAACCACCAGCCCATCCCCAGCATTCACTGCAGGAATTGTAGGATTGTGGGATCGTTAGGGTTGGAGAAGACCTCTGAGGACAGGGCTGAGATGTGGAGATCTGAAAGGTCCGTGGGTTCCTGCGGGCTGAGATGTGGAGATGAGAAAGGTCTGTGGTTTGGTAGGGCTGACACGGGGTCTGTGCTGCAGGGCTCATCCCAGTCAGCAGCTGCTTGGCTGTGGGGAGGAGTTGCAGGAGTTGCAGGGGGTGTCGTGGTGGGGTGCTGCAGTGGGTGCTGTCACAGCTCCCAATTAAAATCCTGCAGTGTCTGAAGCAGACAGAAGAAACGACAAGGAAATAGCAGCCAAGTCTGCCTGTTTCAGGCCCAAAGCTGCTGTTCTCTGCTCCGCCTTTGGGCCAGGTCTGCCTGGCAGCTTTGTGGCACAGAGAGACATCACAGCCCTCCCTGTGCCCAAAAACACCCCCAGCCCCTTTGCCGGGGGGGGAGCAGCCGTGGGTCGGTGCTCCTCCGCTGCCGCCGTCACTGGGCTGCTCGTGTGCTGTGCTTCCCTCCTCCTGACTGCAGTTTTTTGTCCCACAGGGCCGTCTGCCGTCAAAAAGTCGCTCACCCCAGAGGTAAGTTTGTGGCTAAGAGCTCCAAACACCCAATTCCTGCCTCGGAAATGGGGTCGGGGAGGGAGCAGGAAAGCCAGGGGAAGCACAGCAGTGAGAGCAGCCTTTGGGTTCCCCCGCTGTGCTGGGGCTGAGCCGTCCTGCCAGCAGAGCAGCCCTGTGCTCAGACTGGAGCCAGCCAAGTGAGTTCCTGAGCCGTGAGTCAGGGCTGTGTGCGCAGCTTGCTTAAGCTGCTTCCCGAGGGAGTTGGCCTTGCTGGGCTTTGTGACAGCAGGGACAGACGAAGAATCCCACAGAGGGGCCCGTGGTGGCTGCAGGTGGATGGCAGGAGCTGCTGCTGATCGCTTTCCTGGGCATCAGCACGTGACACGGCGCGGTCCTGGCTGTGCAAATGTCATTGCTGTGCTGGGTGCTTTGGGAGCACGCCATGTTCTGAGCCCCCCTTCTCACCACCTTTTCCTCCATCCCAGATGCCAGGCTCTTCAGGGCAGCCGGGCTCTCAGACGATAAAGAAGGGGCACAGAGGAGTGGATTCCACGGGTGAGACCACCTACAAGAAGGTGAGCGCCGCCGCATGGCTCTGCTGCTCTGCGTGATGTGGATCCCAGCCAGGGCAGCCAAGGCTGGGTGTCGCTGGGTGCTGCAGGGTGGCCACGACGGTCGCTCAGAGGGAGCGCAGCGCTCCGAGCTGTGAGGGCAGTGGGCAGAGCTGCTCCTTTCCCACAGCTGCTCTTGCAGCCTTCAGAAGGAGATGGCTTCTAAGCGCTGCCTGCTGGCAGCAACTTCCCAGGCCTTTTCTGGCTGATCCTGTGCTCCTGGGGCAGGTCCTTCCTACAGGTCTTGTGGCATTCCTGGAATGTCAAAAAGGGGGATTGTTAGGGCTTCGCCACACGCTGGAGCTGTGGCAGCTCTGTGGATGCTGCTTCCACTCTGCTGGGCTTCACAGGGATGGTGACACCTCTGATGTGAGTTTGGGTTTGGGGGGAGGTGGAGCAGATGAGGGCTCTGTGCACTTGGTGCAGGCAGAGCTTCTCGTCCAGATCTGTGCCCCAGAGCTGCTCTGGTCATGGTGTGAGTGCATGGCAGGAGTTCTGTTACGGTGTCTGTCCTGCACTGACTGCTGCCTTCACGTTCACTGCCTCTGGATCCCTCTGAAATCCAGGTTGGGCAGCAGTGGGAGGAGAACGGAGCCGAGCTGCTGCAAAATGCCTGAAGTGTTTTTTTGCGAGGGCCCCTGGAGCTGCTGGAGTGCTGCATGGGGCTGATCTGGGAACAAGATTACTGGGCAGGCCGCCTTTTTTCCATCCCTTCTTTTTCCAGGGGTGGCGAGTTGTTTTTCTGGAATTCTTTCCCCTGTGGAAGTGATGATAAACAGGCGGCCAGCTGCTCGGCCTGCTTCGCTGGTGGATGGAGGAGGGAAACTCTCGTTCCTTGGCAACGTGGCTCTGTGCTGTGTGCTCACCAGCAGGCAGGGCTGCATGCGCTCAGCTGAGAGCTGTGGTCAAGCAGCACAGGGTGTGGGGGGGAAAAGGAATCGCATTCTTCCTCCCTCCCCCAGGAAACCAGAGGAAATGGGAAATGCAGGCAGGCAGCTGGAGAGGAGCAGGGTGTTGTGCGGTGGCTGCGTGGCACGGGGTTTTGGGCTGGTGTGGGAAGGGAGCCCACAGGGTGAGGTCATGTGCTGCACAGAGAACTCCTGATTCCAGCAGCTGTGCAGGAACACAGTCTGTCATTGTTCTGGGACAGCTTGAGCACAGGGGCAGGAGTGGCTGCCTGTCTGCACTCCTTATTTTGCCATGACAGAGAACTTTAGGGCTGAGGAGCCCTGGCCTGGCACCAGTCAGGAAATGGGGTGGTGCGTGCTGTGCTGTGTAGCCCTACTGAGCTGCTGCCTGCTGTGTTTGGTGGCAGGGGAACGAGGGCACCTCCCCTCTAAGCATAGGATGTGGGGGGAGCAATGAAATTGTGCTCAGGTCCTTCACAGCTCAGCCAGAACTGAGCAGAACGTTACTGGGGTGGGACAGGGAGGTGTTCGCCCTGCTGCTGCGCTCTGCAGGCTGCCCCGGGACAGAGCTGTGGTGGTGCTGCTCGTTGAGAAAGAAGCCAGCAGGTAGAAGTGGTGGCTGTGCAGTGCCCCACTAACAGCACACTTCTGAGCATAGGGCTCTCTTTCCTCCAGCTCCTCTTGTTCCTCTTCCCAGTCAGCCACTTATGTTGCCTAACTCGTTTCCTTTGCTCCTCCAGACAACGTCATCAGCCTTGAAAGGTGCCATCCAGCTGGGCATCACACACACGGTTGGGAGCTTGAGCACTAAACCTGAAAGAGATGTTCTCATGCAAGATTTCTACGTAGTAGAAAGTATTTTCTTCCCAAGGTCAGTGCTTGCTTTCTTCCTTTCTGTCGTGCTTTGGCAGCAGTAGCAGCAGTAGCTCCCAGCCCTGCTCGCTTTTAGGAGGCAGCAGCAGAGCTGGGGGAGCACAGCTGTGCTGAGCAGAGGCACTGCGTGCCGAGCAGCTCCGTTTCTGCAGAGCTCTGCTGTGGCTCCCATAGGTCTGCTGAACACATAAATGCAGCTGTGCTGCTGTGCGCCTCCCTGGGCTGGATGCATTCAGTCCAGGCAGTGCATTAGGGGACAGCCAGAGCAGGCCTTGCTGCTCAGATCGTCCCTTAGGAGCCCTGAATGATGCAAACCCACGTGTGCCCTCTCTCGTTGAGCAGCGAAGGCAGTAACCTCACCCCAGCTCACCACTACAACGATTTCCGCTTCAAAACCTACGCGCCGGTGGCCTTCCGATATTTCCGGGAGCTGTTTGGGATCCGGCCGGACGATTACCTGGTACGGCTGCCGGGTGCTTGGGGGGGGTTCCTGTGCTCTGTGTCTGCTTGGAGCTCTGGGAGCACAGCAGTGGATGCGGTCCGTGGCCCCGGGGTTTGCCTGGTGCTGTCTGAAGGGCAGCAGTGCCATGCTGCCGTGTTCCACCTCTGCTTTTCTCTCCTCCTCCTCCCCAGTACTCGCTCTGCAGTGAGCCCCTCATTGAGCTCTCCAACTCTGGGGCCAGTGGATCCCTCTTCTACGTGTCCAGCGACGACGAGTTTATCATCAAGACAGTTCAGCACAAAGAGGCAGAGTTCTTGCAGAAGCTGCTGCCCGGCTACTACATGGTAAGTGAGGCCAGGAGAGGCTTTCTTTGCCTGTAGCACCGCATGCTCCCTGCTGGGCTCTGTGCTGTGAGCCTCACACAGGGCCCTGCGTGTCCCTGTGTGGTGAGCAGGGAGTTCTTTTGCACTCGTGGGCTGATCTGACCCTCAGCTTTGCAGGGTGACGTTAACAGTGGGCAGTGCCGGCCTGTCGCCCCCTGCCCGCCCTCACCTCTTTGTTTCTTTGGCTAATGCTTTGAACTGCTGCTGGCCCTACTGGGAGGAGCAGGCAGCTCTGCTGGGCAGAACGTAAATAGTCAGCGTGGCTCTGAAGGCATCTCTGCATCTTTGGTTCTTTTAGAACTTGAATCAGAACCCAAGGACGCTGCTGCCCAAGTTTTACGGCTTGTATTGTGTCCAAGCCGGGGGCAAAAACATCCGCATTGTGGTGATGAACAACCTGCTGCCACGTTCTGTGAAGATGCACCTCAAATACGACCTGAAGGGCTCCACCTACAAACGCAGGGCGTCCCAGAAGGAGAGGGAGAAGGTCTTCCCCACCTACAAGGACTTGGATTTTATGCAGGACATCCCCGACGGCCTCTTCTTGGACTCAGACATGTATAATGCTCTGTGCAAAACGTTGCAGAGAGACTGTTTGGTAAGTGGAAGTGCTGGGAGGAATTCTTTTGAACCTTTCTGTTGGCACCCAGCAGTCCTGCATCCTCTCCTGGGGGTGCTGGCTGGACAGCCTGCAGTTTGGCAGTGCTGTGGGCAGGAAGCCGTGTGCCCTCTCCCTGTGCCAGGCGTGCCGGGTCCAGGCAGTGGGCTCAGCTCTGAGCCTGCCAGCAGCTGTGTGAGAGTGCAGTCCCTGCTCCGGGTCTCCTGCACAGGAGGAGTACTGCAGGCCTTCCTGGCGCCTGGCAGAGGCAGGCTGTGGGTTGAATTCATCCCTTGGCCATGCTGGGGTCCAGGTGGCACCGCTGGCGATGCTGTGGTGCCCCGTCGGCAGCTTCACGGGGCTCACGGTGGCAATGAGGCTTTGTCGACTTTCTGCCCAGGTCCTGCAGAGTTTTAAAATCATGGATTACAGTTTGCTGGTGGCAATCCATAACATGGACCTGGCACAGAGGGAGCACGCGATGGCAGACGGGACGTCCCAGGCCGACACGCGGCGCCCTGCGGCACAGAAGGCCCTGTATTCCACTGCCATGGAGTCCATCCAGGGGGAAGCCCGCAGGGGAGGCACCATAGAGACAGACGACCAGTGAGTGTGTGCTGCTCTGCTGCAGGGCTGCCTTCGTGTGGGCTTTTGGGGTGACTGCTGCTGCCTTTCTGAGAGACGTGCTGGTGGCTCTGAAAGAGAAGGGGGTGGGTCTTCAGCGGGGCCCGTGAGATAGGATGAGGGGAAATGGTTCCCAGCTAAAAGAGGGGTTTAGGCAGGGCACAGTAAAGACAGTGGTTACGAGAAGGGCACTGAGGTGCTGGCACAGGATCCCCAGAGGTGGGAGGGTGGTGGTGCCCCGTCCCTGCAGACTCCAGTGGGGAGGCTGGTGAGCTGTGAGTGCAGGTGGAGCTGTGGGTGCCCCTGCTCATTGAGGGAGGTGAGGTGCCCTTTCAGGGTCTCTTCCAGCTCCAACCATTTGTGATTCTGTGCTTTGGTTGATCCCCGCTGCCTCCACCCCTGCGGGCAGCAGCGGCAGCTCACTGCAGTTGCTTGCTCTCCTCGTGGCTGGGTTGGGATCAGTCTCCAGTGAAACTGCACAGCTCTGGGAAGGTCGAGCCAACCTCACCAGCAGGCACTGTTCTCTGTCCTTGCAGGATGGGGGGCATTCCTGCCCGCAACGCCAAGGGGGAGAGGCTGCTCCTCTACGTGGGCATCATCGATGTGCTGCAGTCCTACAGGTAGGGCAGTCTGAGGGCAGCTGTGTGTCGCGTGGGGGGCACAGCTTCGCAGTGCTGGCTGTGCTCTGTGTGGAGGTCTGGCTTCCAAGGGAGTTAAGATGCGTTTTATTGGCTGCCTTTATTTCTCTGTTGTTATTTTCTTGGAGTTGGGTGTTTGAGGATTGGTTTCCGGGTCTTGTTTACTGCGTTTGCCTCCCGTTCCCAGGAGGGATCGCCTCTGGCAGAGGTTATTTCTGTGCTCAGTGGTTGTTGTGTGCAGGAAGCGGTGAGGAGAAAACAAGCAGTGGCTTAGAATGGCCACAGCCACTGCTCTGGTGCTGCTGGTCAGAGAAGCTCAGCGCCGTGCGGGCACCAAACGGCACAAACTGGTGTGAAACCTCGTCTTTGTTCTCTGCTTTGTCAGGTTTGTGAAGAAGCTGGAGCACTCCTGGAAGGCCCTTGTGCATGATGGGGTAAGCAGCAAGCACAGCACCCTCACCTGTTCAGCTCACTGCAAGTGCTCACTGCGCAGTGTCCTGGGTTTCCAAGGGCTCTGTGTGTTGCTCTTCTACATGAAGCAGTGCCCAGAAACGTTCCCAGGCACCCAGAAATATTCCCAGGCCAATGTAGCACGGGTCAGGGCTGGGGGGCTGCCGTTAACCGCCATCACTTACTAATGCAGGTTTCCACACTGCTCATCCCTTTCAGGACACTGTTTCTGTGCACAGACCCAGCTTCTATGCTGAAAGATTCCAGCGCTTCATGTGCAACACAGTATTCAAGAAGATTCCCTGTAAGTTCTCCACGTGGGGTCCCTGCGGTGGTGCCGGTGTGCCTGGCTTCGTGCTCAGCAGCTGGGGCTGGGGAGGAGCACAGCAGTGTGTGAGGGCATCAGGGAGCCTGCCGTGCCGCATTCCCTCCTCCTGCGTTGTCCTTGCTTTGCAAACGCGGCCGTACGGAGCTGCTTCATGCATCAGTGTGTTTCCCTGTGTGCCAGCTGGGATGGGGCTGTGTTGGGTCTCCTCCTCCTGAGCTCTGTGCGGTAGTGAAGCTCTGCCTTGTTGTTTTTTTTTCGTCTTGAAGTGAAGCCATCCCCTTCCAAGAAGAGCCGCTCCGGCACTGCGGTTCCGAGGCGCAGCTGTCAGGGAGGAGTGCCTTCCCAGCTGCACGTGTCGTGTGAGACAAAAGCACAAGTCACGACAGAGGCGGATGTGGAGCAAGGTTGGTGTCTGGGCTGGGGGGAGAGAAGCGCCTCCCAGGTGTTCCTCAGCTTGCTTTGGCACAGCAGAGCTTTCTGCAGGAGCCTGCGGGTGATTTCGCAGTGCTGCTTTGGATTGGATTTCCAGGAGGGCAGGGCTGGTCCTGCCGTGCTCACGGGTCTGAGGTGTGGTGGGTGGGATCCACACCCCGCCGTTACGGGGGGCTGCGCCCGCACCTCGTGCAGGTGGTGGAACTGCTGTGCTTCCACTCAGGTTCCCACCTCGGCCGCCCGGATCTCCTGCCCAGGACTCTGCCTGTGGACGAAGCCAACAGCGATTCCGTCGCCACCACTTTGTCCACCTCCTCCTTGGGCAGCGGAGGTCTCCACTCACCCGCAAACAGGTGAGGCTCCGGGGGCCCTGGCACGAGCAGCCGCTGTGCAGCGAGTGAGCTCAGTGCCGGGCCAGCATGCGTGCGGGGCGCTGTCGCAGCCCGCTGTGGTCCTGAGCACACGCTGCGGTTTTGCATCTGTGTTTGGGCTGTGCGGACGTCCTGGCGGCTTTTCGTTCTTTGTGCGTCCCGTGCTTGATGGCCTCTTCCTGGAGCTGAGATAATTGTGCTGATTACGAGGTGCTGCCAGAATGCGCCAGGAGCGTGGCGTGGTGCTGCAGGGCGCTGGAGTGACGCGCAGGGCTGGGCGCAGCTCTGTGCCTCTGGGTGTCCCTGGAGCTGCAGTGCATGGCTGAGGAGCAGATGGCTGCCCTGGAATGTTCCATTTGTTGCCCAGTGGTGAGAATTGAGGGTGACGAGGAGGAGCTGTGGTCAGAGCACGATCCCATGCGCAGAAGTTCTGAGGTGCTAACTCCTCTTCCTGGGAGTGGTCGTAACCCACCTTCCTCATTCCTGCACCGTGGCACTAATGAAAGTGTCTGCTCTGTCCTCAGCTGCAGGAGGACGAGATATGATTGCAATTCACTCCTTTTATTCCCTCTCTAAAACATGGAAACTTCTCGGTAGGGATCCTAAACCAGAGCTGCTCCTTCCCAGTGCGTCCGCGTGCCCGGGGAGTTGTGTGTCCTTAACCAGGGTGTCTCTCCTTCGATCTCTGCGTAGGTCAGTGGGCGTGCAGGTGCACAAAGCCGACAGCTCAGCAAAGGATTTCGCTAGGACTGCTGCCTTCCTGTCTAGGTGAGGGAGGAACCACGCTTTGCTGGAGGCCTTCTCCCGTCCAGAGGGTTTGTTTGGGGAGATGTGCCCTGAGGGTCTGCCTCGTGCTGCCTGTGGTTCATAGGTGATTGGTTCAGCACAACATCAGTCGTTTGAAGGAGGTTAGAGAGGGGTGCCTACAGGAGCAGTGGTCTGGAGGAGTGTTTGTCACTCTGGGGGCAGACCTGAGTGAGTGAGCCCAGCAGGGTGCATCAGGGTCAGCCTGCTCCAGAGCTGCTTTGGTGCAGCAGCGGTGTGCCCTACTGCAAAGTGCCAGGCTGCAGAGGGGGGTGTGACACTGAGCAGGGAGGGATGCTGCCAGGGAGCAGTGACGCCTGTCTGTCAGATCAGGCATGGGTGAGTCCTGTTTCGTGCAGAGAGAAAGGGGAGCTCTATGCATGGGGTCACTGGGGATGCCCTGGGGATGCAGCGAGGGGAATGCTGCCCTCACTGCTTCTCTTTTGGAGCACTGCTGCAGCTGGGAGAGGTGCAGGGATCAAAGCCGAGGGCTGATGGTGTGTTCAGCAGCTGGATTGCACAGCTTGTGCCAACCTGAACAGCACTGACCCAAACGAGGCAGCTGGAAAGGAACTGCCTGCAGTCGGAGATGGGAGCCTTGCAGTGCATTCAGCACTGGGTGGCACTGAGTCTGGTCAGGTTGGTGGTTGGACTTGATGACCTTTGAGGGTCTTTTCCAACCTAATGTTTTTGAGCCTGATCCTATGACAAATTCACAAAGCTTTGAAGCACCCTAAGAGCACAACCTGGTTCTGAGGTGTGTGGGAGTCCTCTGCTCCAGCCCAGCTCTGTCACTCAGCTTCTGGCAGAGGGTCCTGAGGTTTGAGGCACTGGGAGTGTCAGCTGCTGGCGAGGAGCTCTGGGGGTGGCTGGGCTTAATTCTGGGGGGACATCCTACTGCCCTGAGCACCAGGATTGGCCCCAGTCGAGTCCTGGAGGCATAGCACTGTAACCAACACTGAGTGTTCTGTCGGGAGAGGATGCAGCTCCACGGGATGCATCCTGCTGGTGGGATGCGGCCCCATGTGCTGCATCCTGCAGGACGTCACTCCCATTTGCTGCACGGGAGCTTTGCCAACAGCTTTTTGCACAGCAGTGCCTCCATTGCAGTGCCTCCATTGCAGTGCCTCCATTGCAGT